CTCCACCCCCCTAGGGGGCGCGCCCCACAGTTTGGGAACCTCTGCTCTATCATAACTTTTATATTAAATTCAAGTTGTGAAAGGGACCAGATAGGTTCTTGTCATAATTTGTATGATTTGGCGGTGAGGAAGCAAAGCAGACAGGACCCAGGATGAAGGTGATGATGAAGAATTTTAATGAACAGCTCGACAGTCCAGTAAACAGGCAGCATGGCAGAGAACCAAACAACTGTAGAGTTAAGACTGAATACTTGGAGCTGACGCCGACACAGGACATAACCAGTTCTACTGTGACGACTAACACTGACAGACTAACGCTGACAAAGACGAGGACCCGACAAGAGACAGAGACAACAGGTGGGCTTAAATACACACGGGGGTAATCAAGGGAACGAGAAACACCTGGGAACAATCGAGGGCTGACAGGACAACAGAGACTCGCAAGAAACAGAAGCCAAAATAAACGCAGCGAAAACCCAAATCCTCACAGTTCTTCCCTCTAATACTTTTATATCTTAGAGTGTTAATGGTATCGGTGTAAATTAAGAGTAAATTGTTTATGAACAAAAGAGTGTTAAAAGGCGGCTGAGTCATTCATTGTTGAAAGACGTTAATAGCCACAGTGAATTTCCATCATGATGTTGTCACCTTCTGTGTAATATCACCCAAGAAAATTGGTCGTAACTCATAGATCTACAAAGGCTGTAATATGGAGTAGCCTGCAGTCACTGAAGCAACTGTTGACCCTGGATGGAGCTAAACTGAGTTTGTGGAACAGCTTGTTACATTGTAGACGACCCTAGAAAGCACATCCACAGATGAGAAATACTCTGCTGCTGTGTTGACCAAGTCTAAATGTCTAAAACTTGAAGTCTGCAATCAGTTTTAATGAAGCAGTCGCGAAGTGGTGCTTGTTTTAGCTCAACTGTTTCCTTAGCGAAGGGCTTTAGTTGGAAGTCGTGGCGTCTGGTTTTGCCTTCAGTATCTGACTTTAATGATAATTTTTGGCTCAATTCTTTGTCCTCCTCTGTTCTTGCTTTCATCTTCAGTCTGCTCTCAGCAGCAGAACGTAGGCCTCAGTGTTAGTAGCTACTGTTGCTAATAAATACAGAAGGCCTTCAGGCTTTATCCAGACACAAACCCTCAGGAGAACTGTGTGAAAACAAGTGGTTTCCCTCAACGATGGCGACTGCCACGATGAAAAACTGCAGCTTGCAGTCTAATTCACAGGTCTGGTCCCTCAGCTGGGTGCAAATAAATTCTGTCAGGAAACAGTTCAATGTGTGTGCTGGCAATATCCGTTTCATAGTTGAAAGTCAGGCCGATGTGCGCCGGTAGCTAGCAGCTCGTGAGTCCCGTCCCGTCCCGTCCTCCTCGTGTGAAGAGGATGTTGAGAGGTTAAACAGAATCACATTCAGTCTGTCCAAGGACGACCTGCTGGGAAGGTCTTTGCTTAATTTGTCTTCCTGCTGCTTTGTGATTGGCTCCTTGCCATACTTTAAAGCGAACACAAACACTGAGAATGTCTCAGGCTTTCTCCTCTCCGCCTCTCTGTTGCAGGCCACTGGGCGCAGAAGACAAATGAAGCATCGGCTTCGATAAGAGCCCCTGTTGTTGCACGGTTGGGAAAATAACTTGATTTACTTTTTTACCTTGCTCTGCTTCACATTTTCAAATGACATTTCAACGTGTTTTGTGCGACAAATTAACACAATGTAGTGCATAACTGTGAAGTGGAGAGAGAATGATGAATAGTTTTTCGCAAACTTCCCCAAGGCTGAAAAACTCGATGATGCTACTTGGTCAGGCTGGAAGGAGAGCATCTATGAACATCCGTTTTTATGTCCTGAAGTGGTTTAAGTTTTAGACTTTCTTCGATCTAAACCTTCCCATTGCTGATCTGGCTGTATGTTTAGGATTATTGCTCAACTGGGATGTCAAACCCAATCCCAGACTCACATCTATTGCAGCTATCATTCCCATTAAGGGTGATGTGTTTCATTTGGTTTCTGCCTCCTGTAACCTTTTTAATTTGGGGGTTTTGTCCATAGAGTTCAGATTTGATCTTATCTGATACATGGTTTGTGGCTGAAAGAAAGATGTTTTAAACTTTCCTTTAACAATGGTTTTCTTATTTGGACTCTTGGGGAAAAAGGTCTGATTTTGTGAGTGTGCAGCGTAGTTTTCTTAAAATATATCACAATCAAGAATAAAAGCTGTCCTGCTTATATTCTGCCACCTGAGCTGTATGCCTGTGCAGCTCCTCCAGAGCTGCAGTGGGTTGCAGAGCAGCAACATTTCCTGTGATGATCTACTCAGTTAAAATAAATAAACTGTTCTATAAATATTAACTCGACAAAAACAAGCTGCGGCCTACTCATTTGCTTTTTTGGATATCTTTGCTGAGTTGAATTTACTTTTTTAATTAAGTCAAACTGATATGAACCTCAACTAAAACAAACATTATCTGAGGAAGCTTCAAATTGAAGTATATGATTATATATGAGGATTGTTTTAAAACAGCGACTAGAGTAACCCTAAACAAAAGGATTCCAATGAGGTTTTCTGATAGATTATGAACAGTTTTTGAAAATAACAGCCTTTAAGCAGATATTAAACATACTTTTTATTAAGCTCATATTTCTGTTGTGAAATGTTTTGATGCAATGTTCTAATCTTAAACGTCGTGGTTTTGTTGGCTGCACGCTGAAAATCATTGTTGTTAACATAATTAAAAGACTTAAAACATCAGTCTGTGTTTAATTAATCTATATGATGGGCTTCACTTTGCGAATTGTGTTACTGGAATAAATTAACTTTTCCATAACGTCAAATTTATTGAATTAGCCTGTGTACTACACTGCGCAGGAGATGACTCATCTTTGCAGCAAACAGCTGATCAGTAAGTATATCACATACTCAGACACAGCAGACCCAAAGTCCAGGCTCATGACATCAATGAGTGTAAATTTATAAGTGATCAATCTTTAAAGCAAGACAGATGTAACAGAATAAAATAAAGAGAGTGGACTCGGTTAAAGATATGCGGCTCAATGCTGCCATCTACTGTTGGTTCAATCTGTAATTACCTGATTGCACATGTAAAAGTCAACAGATCCAAGCAGTTTATTCTGCAACGGACTGTTTTGTGATGTTTGTTTGAGTCAATAATGATAGAAGTCTGAAGATACAATTGGCAAATTAACAATTTATTAACTTAGCAATTTACTAATTGCGTTAAGTTGAAGTTGTTACAGAGTTGTGTTGGTCACTCTGGAACAACAGCAAGCCAAAACTGACCCAACAAGCGTTCACAGGGGTCAAAGTCAGGACTTCGAGGACGTCCTTCCACCCTCTCCATTCCTAAATTCTGGAGCTGGCCTCTGATAAGGGTCAATGACATCTTGCAGGGTGGAATCTGGTCCTTAAATGGGGTGGCCACAGGCTGCAAAATAGCAGGATTACTTCACTCTGGACTGAAACTTTCTCTTATAACAAGAATCTTTAGTTTTCCAGTGATGGGGATGCCGTCCCACGCCATCAAACTGCCTCTACCAATAGTTTTTTGGCTCTGGCAGAGAGGATTTTGCAAGATTTTCTCGGGTACAGCTCACATACTTAGCTGTGCTGCCCTTTCCACCAATACATTTTCCTTAAACTTTCCCCTGATTAGTTTTTATCGTGCCAACAACAAAAACTAATCAGCCTAACACAGTTTTCCTTAATTTATGTCCAGAGTTAAGATGCATTTCAGACAATACTAAAAACCAATGAAAGTACAAAAACTAAATAACATAAATGTGAAACATCTCAGCGTCTGATTTGCATCAGCTGAGTTACATACAGTTTCTGTTCACACTGTTGGCGAGAATGCGCAGCTTTTATGAATTCAGGTTCTGTCAGTTTGAATTGATTTTTTTAAATCACCTTCTTTAAGTTTGCACAGGTGTCAACAATCAACTCATTAACTTGGTTGAGATAAAAGGCACTTTCTGGGTTCAGTCTGTAGTTGAGTTCTGTGGAAGTGATCCTGGTGAGTGAGTTGAGTATGAGTGAATGATTTATAATAGGATCTTAAAGTTGTTGAAGAAACAGTTTGAGGTGTGTTTTGATTTCTGAGCTCTTGTTGTGCTTTGAATCCAGCTTAACGATGTCCGGCCGAGGAAAGAAAGCTGCGCCCAAACCGAAATCTGCGGTGTCCCGTTCCTCCAGGTCAGGACTCACTTTCCCAGTGGGTCGCATTCAAAGGCTGCTCAGAAACGGCAACTACGCGGAGAGGGTTGGCGTCGGCTCTGCCGTGTACCTCTCGGCCGTCCTGGAGTATCTCTGCGCTGAAATCCTGGAGCTGGCTGGAAACGCCAGCCGTGACAACAATAAGCGGCGCATCGCGCCACGCCACATCTTGCTGGCTGTGAAGAACGACGAGGAGCTCAAAAACCTGCTGGCTGGGGTCACCATCTCAGAGGGCGGCGTGGTGCCGAACATTCAGGCGGTCCTCCTACCAAAGAAGACCACAGGTCCAAAGGAAGACGCAACCGCCAAAGCTGTCCAATCTCAAGAATTTTAACTGTGGCAGCCTGGGAGTTTTATTTTAATCAAATTTGTAATGTTCTTAAATTTTATATTTGAACTTATTAAAGCTTAACCTGTTAAACCTCAGTTTGAAGAGCTATGTCCAAAATATTAAGCCTGAACTAGAAATGACTCAAACTAGTTGCATATGTTCTAATATAATCCAGCCCACAGTGAGATGCATAGTGTTCAGAAACTTGAATTGTTAATGTGTTGTGGCCTGTATGACTTTAAGCATGATCGACTCCAGCCCATACGCCCTCCACCATGGGAGGCGATGTGGCTATTGAACAGTGTGCTACAGCTAACCTTGTGAAAAGGTGACTAGGGCACAGACTGCTTATGAGGTCTGGAGGTGCTGCATTAAGTGCCAGGGTTTGAGCTACAGAAAACAGATTGCTCAGTGGTTAAATATGGGTGGAGGGCTATTGTGCATTTCATTTGGCACTCGGTGTCCCAGAGTAAGGAGCAGTGGGGCTGCTTGTGGTCCAATGTGACCTTTTCACAGTCTGCTTTAAACTGCCATGACTCTTGCTGGTGTCTTTCAACTCTGAGTACTCTTTGTAATTTTTAGCACTTTGTACGCTCTGATGAGCTTTATGGGAATACTCATTTCATTTTCCAGCAGGACTAGGGACCTGCACCTCCCCCTGACAAAATTACCAAAACGTTTGCCCATATCATATATTGGCCTAAAAAGGCATGAAATTTCATAGTGAGGTGTGAGACTCTGTCTTCTAGGGACCGTTAGATGCACCAAAAAGGAAAAAACACATTTGGTAAGCAGCTGATAGAAATGAAACACAATCTAGACTGGAGTAAGAAAAGTGTCATAAAATGATGCTACATTTAATTGCCACACTGCATGTGTCTTACATACCCATCATTGTTTTTGTCAAAGCTTCTCACTATTCTGGACAGTTTACTCATCTATTTCTGAGGTCACCAACTTTTTTGCAGCTGAGTTGTACTTCATGGGCACCAACTAAGTAATATGAAAGGCTGCCAGTTTTGAGTTTAACTTTTGAATTGAATTATTGGAATAAATTTTTTAAAAAATTGCTGCATCAGTACATCCCTCATCTGGTTAATGAAGTTTATATTCCTTGGAAGATTTCTAAAGTCATATTGTCGTCTTTCATTCTGAAGGAGAAAAACAAACCTTGCAGGTCATTAAACTTAACAGGTGTTTTGCATCAGCGATCTAATACGGCAAGTCATTGTAACATATAATCAGCCCAGGCAGCTCTCCTTTTTTTCACTTATCAATGTTTCTTTTTTTAATGTGGTACTAAAATTTTACATTTATTCTTTGAATGGGTTTCTTTTTAAAAGCTTATTTCTTACATTTTTGTCCTTTATTTTCCTGTGAAGAACGTTGAATTTGCCATGTGCTTGTGTGAAGTTACACAAACTTTTTGTCAGATGTGGGTATTCACTAGTTCAGTAATATTTTCGGAAAAAAATAAGTACTTTTGGGAATGATCTTTTTACTGTTACTTGAGAATTAATGTTATACAATGTTTACTTTAGCAAAAGTTCTGGCTACTTTACTCACTGCAGGTAATTACAATGAATGGAAAACAAAGATATTTTAGCCAACAATGCACCAGACACAAAAACACACTGACACTTTATGTTCATTGAGTTTTGTTGATTTTACTGAAGCTTCGTTGTTATTTGCCACCTGCAGAGCGTCTTTGGAGATAAGGTGAAAGAAAACAGTACATATTGACACTGGAACTACCTTACCCTATCACTAGCTGTTATAATAATTTGTTTTGAAGAGTTTATGCTAACAATACCATAATTACAAAATAACAAATTCAAGCTGAAGTAATATGTTTGCAAATCAAATAATTTGTCCTGTTTGAATTTATTTTGTAATTTTGTTATTTATACGTTCTATTTTCTTACTAGTTTAGTCATTAAAATATCAGAATTTGCACACAAATGTATATTTTTCTGACTGATTATATATTGTTTAAATATTCAGCCAAGTGTTATAATCAGTTGGCTGAATATACAAAAATAACATTTTGTACATGTTATTTTCATGTACAAAATAACATGAAGAACATGTTTTTTAAGTGTATTTCTTACATTTTTGTCAATGTTATTTCTTACATTTTTGTAAGAAACACAAAAATGTAAAATTGCATTCTTACATTCTTACAAAAAGGTAAGAATGCTATCTTTCTCCTAGATAGCATTCTACTAGAAGCATGGCGTCTGGATAATTTGATATTTTTTGTTGAAAGTTGAAACGTTTTTAACTTAGAGGAGCATTATTATGTGATACAATTGCATGCCATAACTAGTGCGTGAGCTAATCGTACCTTGTGTACGTGCGGCTACGTGCTGACGTATGACGAGTGCACAACAAACAGTTGTTGGACTTCAACAGGCTAGCGAAGGAGAACGTTGGACAAAAAAAAAAAAAAAAACAGGCTCAGCTGACTCCTCCCGGAGTTGGAGATACAGCCGAGAGCTAAATGGTGGGAATATAGCGGCCATAGTCTTCCAACCGTAAGCACCGGTAGTCCCGGCGCGTTTCCTGAGCGCTGAGCTTAGCCACCGAGGCATGTTCATTGCTCGGAGTGTGACGCCTGTTTTTTCCGTCGCTGCTACCGCCGCCGCTGGCTGAGGGTTGTGATGCGAGCAGAGAGAGTTGCGCCACGACAGAGGGTGAGACCAAGATCTGCGGAGGGAATATATTTCATCTTCTTGTCACGGAAGAATGAACTTGGAGAAACTGTCGGGTCGGTGTAAAGAAGCAGGCATGCTACCCTACTCGGGCCTGGACGTCATTGTTGGACAACAACTTTAGCAAGCTAGCAACGCGTTAGCTCGCTTTAATTCACGTTGATGACTTGGCTCCGTAAGCTCCCTGAGCGACCTGTTCGTTTTAGTAGATTGGCCTGGCCCTGTTTGTTCCTGCTAGTAATATGCTGACGACCAGGGAGACATTATTCGCCCTCCAAACGAAGCAATAAGATAGGACTGCCAGAAATTTAGCGCTTACCTGTGCGTTCATAGTTAGGCTTTATAGTTTGGTTTATGAACAAGTGCAGACAACAGTAGCGTTTTGCACGGAAACAAACGATTTCTTGTTAAATGACATTTCAACAAAATTGCACTTTATTTAGTTGGCTTCTGACATCATTTGACGGTTGTTTGTTGAAGTATATTATTTCCACATCGAAAACAAAATACAAGCATAGATGGATGGATGTTTCTCACGCACTTGAATGACCAAAACGGGGACTCATCAGCTTTAAAGTAGAGAAAAGCTTGTCTGTTCCAGGTGGTCACTGTCTTACCTGCTGACCATACGGTGCGCCACAGTTTCCAAGCTGAAATGTAAACATGAATTTCGAAGAGCAGCGTCTAGATTTGTGTAATGTCAAGACAAAGGCCAACGTGGATGATGACCATAACACTACCAACAACACAGAAGCAGTCACCCCTCGTATTTCTGAACTGATGACAGACAGCGACTTCGAGAAACAAACCAGTGTTCCCACAGAGGCCTCTGAAACCTACCTTATGCCTCAACTCACTGACAATCTCCAGACAGCTGAGGAGGACAACCAAGACACACTGGAAATTGATGAAGTCAATGGAAATAAAAAGAGCTGTGCCCAGGACACCCCTGCTGTAGATAATCCCACTGACTTGATCTCGTCTAACGATGAGCAGCACAAGATTGTTATAGAGGAGGTGGAGGAGGTGAACATGAAGGAGGACAGGGACAGCAACTCTGCACACACTGCTGTGGAGGCAGGGGACGATGGCGTGGACATGGACATCGGGGTGGATCTGAGCCTGGATGAGAGCGGGGTGCTGGAGGCCGAGTCTGCGAACGCCACGTCCGTCTCAGACAACGCTTTGGACTCTAAGTCCAGTCCTCAGGACGTCCCAGCCGGCAGGACAGCGGAAGGCCAGGCAAATGCAATCCAGACGTGCAGCACCGAGGCGTCTGCCGCTGATCAAGCGGGACTGTATCCCTTGGTGGAGGAGGGGGAAGAGAAACACAAACAGAGTGGAAAAAGGGTGACATTTCCTTCAGGCGACGACATCGTTTCTGGAGCGGTGGAGCCGAAGGACCCCTGGAGACATGGTAGTACTTGTCATTTTCTGCGTGTGTGTATGTGTAAATTAACTTTTCTCTTTGCTGTGCTGTCATTAAGGACGTTTGAGACGTGTTGGTTCACCAGGGACGTAACTAAGGCGCACAACTCGGTCTTTTCCTGACTCATGCCTTTGTTGTTGTTGTTCTTGAAGGTTCCTTTTTTCTTTTGGAGACTTTTAAGAGAACATTTTCTCGATTTCAATTTCTAGCTGATTAATTGATTCATTTGTAGCATTTTTTATTATTATTATTATTTAGCTCCAGTGTATTTAGCTATAATCTCTTAGGCATTTTATATTAATATATGCCAAGGATTTTAAGTTAGGATTTGAAAACCACTCAGATAAAAAAAAAAAAAAGTCAGTTTAAGATGGCACCAATGTAGCTGTTTTTTTTTTTTTTAATCCAGTCGAATAGTGCACAGGGTGAAGCGGCTCTCTTCCTTCGTCTCTTTGCTGCACACTGCCAATCAGCAGGCTGAAAGAACACTGCTACACTTTGTCCTTCACAAAAAGAAAAAGTTGGTTGTTTGGGAAAGTTTCCAGTTGTAGAAAAACATTCCTACTTCTATTGTGAAAACTAAAGAAACACTCTATTTAGGATAGCAAAGTTTCAGAGGTACAGTTTTAAAACTAAGAGTAGCTTAGCTTATAAACTAAGCTACATTGCAGCAAACTACAATAATCAGTAGGTTTTATTTTATCAGGAATGAAAATTTAAATAAATAAAAAATTAGGTTATATTACAGATTTCCACTTAAACATTTCATGACTGCACTCTGGGAATCTCAGCTAGAAAGATCCGGTTCAAAACGGATCCACCCAGAGTATAGAACCACAATCATCCACATGTCAACAAAGATTTGATCATGTTAATTTAAGGTCAGATTAGAAAGCTGTTGGGGAGATTGTGGTGGTATAAAAAGATTTATTCATGACCATCATTAGGACTG